ACACACACACACACACACACACACACACACACACACACACACACACACAAATATATATATATATATATGTATATATATGCATATGCATTGTCACTATGACGGAGCTAATTGGAGTGTATATAGATGGGTATTTGACCATAATTTGTTATAGCATATTTACATTAAAGAACCTTATGGCTCAATGCCAATATTTTCCCGGACACTGACGATTTTCCTCACGCGTACGTTGTCGTAATATTTGTAGATATGGACAGATCCCGCGTTTTCCGATCTCTTTCTCGGATCTGTACTTAAGAACCCGGCAGGAACCTACGGATTCAGAGCTAATGCTTTCACACCAGCCATTAACTTGGTCTGGGCGGGTATGTATCTGTGCTATTACGAATGTGTATAAGTCAGTGTTTATTTGCTGATATTTGCCGCTGTGTGTGATGTGTGAGTGTGTTGGTATGTATAACCTCGCACGAGCGTACTTGTCTGAGTTGTGTGGATGCGGGTATTTTTGTCTATTTGCAAGTGTGTGCGTGTTTTATCACACACGCACATATATATAGAGAGAGTGTTTGCTAGGTATGTGATTGTGCATATGCATGGACACATGTATAGGTTTCTAGCATGTAACATTGTATAATAAGTGTGCATGTTGGAAGGTCACACTTCACGATTTGTAAATACACACGTATTATCGAGCGGGGATTTCTTTTTACAATCTTGTCTATATAAGTGAATCTGTGGTCATGGTACCATACACTCCTTCATATCCTTAACGTTAACATGCTTACGTACTTCTTTGCGTATTTCTCATGCCACGAATAGTAGTTGATTACACTACAGTAGAACGCAAAAGATTTTGTACCAACGCGTTCGCTCTGTGAACTATGTCCTGGATAGCATGGCTGTGGCAAACACAGTAGTAGGCCAACTGTACTGTTCTATATTTATCTCATAGTACTCATGATACCCTGACTATACCTGTGCAACACTCAAGCACTTGTACTGACACCCACCCCGGGGACTAAGTTTTGATGATATTGAAAATAGTGCGGTGAGACAGTGCAGCAATTAGTTTTATACACACAGTCCATCGAATCTAATTATCTCTAATTGTGTAATACATCCATAAAATCTAATAGTCTGTAATTTACATATTTCCATAGAATCTAAGTATAGGTATTTGCATAACACACGTACAGCACTCAAGGACTTGTACCGTCACCCACCGCGAGAGCTGAGTCCCAATGACGTGGGGATTGTAGGCGAGACCGTTGACCAATTGGCGGGTGCCAAGGCCTACAGTCAATTAGCCAAACACCACAACTCCAACTCAGACTCTTCGCTGTACAGTGCTATCACCGACATCCATGTGCGCATATTGGTATGGAGGGAGGCTGTAGTGGCTGATATAAAGGGGTTGTGGCTCTCATGCTAGACACGTCTATAGGAGCAATTCATAAGGGTCGTTCTGGTGATATATATATATAAATACATACGCACACACACACACACATACTCACATGTTATATATATATATATATATATATATGTGTGTTCGTATGTGTATCCTTATATGATACATATGATATGAAGTGTAAGTGCGTGTTGGTGGTACTAAAAAGATGCTGTGTACTGAACTCGGAGTCACGGCTGTGTATTGTGATCACCGATATCCAAATGCGATGTCTGCATGTATACAAATATATATTCATGTATATCAACGTGTTATAAGGCATTGGGATTATTGGAGGACTAAAACCTGACCATCCCAGGTCAGGTCGGTTGTGGAGTCAGAAAGGTCATCAATACTACAAACATGTTTGCACGTGATGAATGCGAACACATACACCATCCACATGGTTGTATGCCCTGGAAATGTATACGTACACATACACTACGCACATGTTTGCACATTCTATATACGTACACATACACCACAAACATGGTTGCGTGTCCTGTAAACGTATACTTGCACATAATCGTATACTTCCGGGGGGGAGGGGGGGAGGGGGAGGTATTCATCAGACCCTGACGGCTATTTTTGCAACCACCCATCCATACCTGAAACAGGGCATGTTAGAGGGCAAAACCCTAATCATCCCGGCTGGCTGGGCTGGTTGCGCTGTTAAGAAGGACAAGAACCCTGCGGACGTTCCTGGTGCCGGGGGTGGTAATGTGCTGTATGTGGTACACAGAAACAGAGACGGCCTGACCGCTGACTTTGCCGTCATCAACACGGGCGACGGCTCTCAGTACCACCCGGTGACGGTCGAGGACTCGCCCGATCCTTTGTATAAGGTGTGTGGCAACGGTTACTGGGTACATATGGAGTAGGTGTGTGTTTGTCCCTGTGGAGAGGGGTGTGTGTGTGGTGGGTGTTTATTTTAGCAGAGTATCTATTTGGTTTGTATAGGTGTATGACAACGGCTACTGGGTACATATGAAGGGAGTGTGTGTTAATTTCCGTGGTGTGTGTGTGTGTGTGTGTTTGTATTAGCAAAGTATATAACTGGTTCGTGTAGGTGTGTGGAAACGGCTGCCATGGCATGTTGGATTCATATGTAATGAGTGTATGTCTGTCTCCGTTGAGTGGTGTGTGTGTATATATGTATCAACAGAGTGTATATTTAGTTTATGTAGGGTGTGGGAAGGGTTGTGTGTGTTTGGTGCAGTTACACGGGCTGCATGTGGCACACGAATGAACAGACAACCACATGACCGCACCCGTTGCCATGTGAACGCAGGCGATAGGTCTCAGTACCAGTCGTAAACGGATGAGAGTTCGCTCGCCCCGTTGTACCAGGCGTGTGGGGATCACACGCGCAAATAAAATAATGGGTGTATTGTGTTTACCTACTGAAAGCCGTGTTAATCCTATCTTTATAAGCTGAGTAGTGGCTGTCGTTGCTGTGGATGCCTTTGTCAAGTACCATGTGCGGTCAGGTTTTAGATTTAGGTTTTATTTTTATAGGGTATTAACAGGTTTTATTGTTATAAAGGTTTAGGGTTTATATGGTATGGTACTTGAAACCAAGCATGGTTACATCACACATGGCTGATCTTCTCCTATGGGGATCGCACAACAGCTGGCATAGTATTCCGTGCTGTTCGGTACCACAAGTAACAGCACAGATATGTGTACGTCTGCGTGTCCAAATGTCTGCGAGCAGTTGTAAATTCGAATTCTGTTCACCCTATCATCTGGCAGGTATATTCTCTTTCCAGTACCCACCATGCGTATTATGTACTGGTATCGTCTCATAGCGACTATCTCACCACACTACTCTCTTCCCCTGTCTCTGGTGACCACATAACACCCGGTATTGCTGTTCCGTGGCGGTAGCTATGCATATTCAGATATGTATACTGCTGCATGTTCAATTGCCTGCATGCCACTATATGTGGAATATGGATTCTCCCACAATCTCTCGTTGCCGCGCTTGTACCCAGCGTCAAGCGTATTGTATCGTCTCAAATTAACTCACCACACACCTCTCTTCCCCTGTCTCTGGTGACCACATGACAGCCGGCCCTGGTCTTCCGTGATATTCCGTGGGGCAAAATAACAGACTCGTCACTGTGGCTGGTTCTAATGAAAATCCAGGTAATTGTTTATATAGAATTATGTATGTTTATTTGTTTGGAACTGGGTACTTATAATAATGCAAGTGTAGGAACCATTTTCTCCCACACAATTTGCTTGGAGCATCTGGCTAGCACTCACAAACCCACTCACCCACCCACCCACGCATACATACACACACTCACACACGCACACACAAGCACACACACACACACACACACACACACACACACACACACACACA